ACCCCTTGCCTTACTGAGATTTCTGTTTAGAGATCTCACCCCACGTTTGGGGCGCTTATTTCAAGTTCAGGTAACCCAGGGGTTGAGACCTCTAGCGGCAGGAGGCCGGAACTTAGCTGATATTTCTGCCTATGCTATTTATGTTTGGATGCTGGATGATATTTGTTGCTGTTATGCTATTAGTTTCGTGTTATGGATTTTAAGCTAAGACTCTGTTGATTATGTTGCTATTTGGTGAGCATGGGGATTGTCCATGCCACATTGTCTTGACTTTATGTTTTTAGTTGATTCGAGTTGTATAATTGTATCAGGATTATGTCCGGACTACGTGTTGTAGATCCGTGACTTAGATACTCACTTATTTATTCATGAGGTATTTTCAGTTAGCTGTCTTTTGCAATTTACATACAGGCGATGTTTTTATGAAATTGATTAAGTAATTAACTTGGCTAAGTTAATGACGTCATAATTGAAAAGTAAAAATTATTTCGCATATTTTAATTAAGCGTGGCTTAATACGATGACATGTTAACAAACCGGGTTAACACGGGGTGTTACAAATACCCTACCCGAAGAGTTTTTCTAGCTAAGGCTTTAGCTCCCATGTGTTAGCCATTAATTGTTAATACATACGTGTCTTAGAGACAATCTGAGAGTCAGATGAACCCATGTACTTCTTTATTTATTATGAATAAATTTTATGAATAAAAGAATTTTTTATCTTGTGTCATATTGCATGTCTCAAATATTGAATATGAGTAACTGGATAAAGCCCTTGGATTGGAATGGGTGTCACATTGAGGATTTGTGATAGGGATCACGTTCATGAGGGCTCCCTGACACCATACCTCCATTGCCAGAAATATGTTCCTAGTCTAAAGGTACCGATAATGGGCATTGGTGATCTCGAGTAAGACTAGCACGACTCAGCTACTTGCATAGAGATGCAAGGTAGAGTTCTCGTGAGCTACAGACATGGAGATGTCTTAGCTGACTCGTGGGTGGACCTATTGGAGAATGCACTGAACTGGCCCACAAAGAGACACTATAAGAAATCTCATAGATAGTATCAATAGGTAATGTCTCTTATTATTTGTGTGCTTCTTTCATTAGACCTGACGTTGTCATATAGACCTATGCTCTGGAAGGCTTGCTTTGATTGTATACCATGTCTTCCTGAAACATGGAGACTCGTAGGTATGCTCTTGGGCATGCCCAAAGGACTCAGGGCTAGTGTGACAAGCTAAAGGAATTCGTCAATCTCTGCGAGAGATTAGGTTATTCGTAGACCGGTGAAACTGGGATGACATTCTCGGGACTCGGGAATCTATGCATAGTAAAGGAGTTATGAGATGACCCGCTCTTTAGTCTCCATAAATGAAGATTCCCTGTTTCGGCAAAAGCTAACCCTAGACCACAGGGGTTGATACGTTTTCCTTGACCTAGGACAATGAGACGGATAACCGAGACGAAAGGATAATTCACATGGTAACCAAATAGGTATAATAGGTTGATCATTCGATGAACTCAACTAGCTCTGGGATAACAAAGCATTGCTAGTGCTCTGTGTTGTCATTAGATGGATTGAGCCTAATGGGCTTAAGCCCATTTATGTCAATGGCTATATTGGGCCTGATGGATCGCACACAAACACCTTAAGTTGTCTTGAATTCTAGCATATGTGATTTAAGCCCAATAAGGCATAATGGGCCTAAGTTGGAAAAGCCCACATATTGGGCCAAGAGAGAGTAGGTGACATGATGGGTCAAGTTGGACTTGATCCATGATGTAACCTAATTAATTTAAATGTTAAATTAATAAAATTAATTTGAATTCGAATTTCGAATTGGAAATTTGAATTTAAATAAAAATAATTTGAATTCTAATTTCGAATTGAAAATTTGAATTTAAATATAATCATTAAATTAGATTTTATGAAGATGGAGAAAATAAAGGAAACCAATCAATTATATTGATTTACCAAAATTAAGGAAATCAATTAATTAAATTAATTGGCTGAAATTTAGAAAATTTATCAATTGGATTGATGGACCAAAATTAAGGAAATCAATTAATTAAATTAATTGGCTAAAATTTGGGAAACAAATTAGTTGGATTGATTGGATAAAATGAAGGAAACCTAATAATTAAATTAATTGGCAGAAATTGGTGGAAACCAATCAATTGGATTGATTGACCAAATTAAGGGAATCAATTAATTAAATTAATTGGCTGAAATTGGGGAAACCAATCAATTGGATTGATTGGATAAAATTAAGGAAATTACCCAATAAGATTGGGATTTGATGAGGTCGCTAATTTGACCTAGTCTTAGGTTAATGAGGCGCCACACACACACACACACACATATATATATATATATATATATATATATATATATATATATATAACCCCTCTTATTCCTTAGTTTTTGTAACTCATCTTCTCTAATTTTCTCCACTGAAACCTTAGTCAACACACACATCAGTGTGACAGCTATCTCTCTCTTGGAATAACTAAAGGCACCACCCGATCTCTATTCTTCTTTTGAGTTTAGCAACCTTCATAAAAGGATATTGGGCATTCAAAGAAGCATTCTTCACTTACAAGACAACAAGGTGGTGTGGATTTCTATCGAAGGACTTATGTTCTTTAAGTCTTAAGAATTGATCAAGAACGCATATGATCAGGAATAGTTATCCGAATAAATTTTGCATGATTCATGGGTTGAACATGATTGAGGGTGGGCAAAGGTTGCTTCTTCCGCACAAAAATTTTAATTTTCCCTCTTTTATGTTCATGGACTACAAAAGGATACTTTCATTAATTCCTTCATGTATCTCGGCTAGGACATATTTAGCTTCTTCTGAGTTTAGGCATTTTAGCATTGGGGAATGCAACCCCTTTCTATATAACTGATCCTCGACGATTGTATACTGCTTTGCATCTCGGATCAATTTCTTAGATTCCATTGAGTCTTATGGCAGTGTTCCTTTTCCAAGGTAAGTAATAATTGGCTGCCTCCAATCACCTGCCGATGTAATCACCATTACACAACTCGGTTCTACATTGCTCTGTTGAACCACGGTTTTATGATTACCCGGGTTCTTAGTACTTTCCAGCTTAGATAAGAAGTCGGCTTTGTTGTTCTCTTCTTAAGGAATATGAGTGATTATCACTTCTTCAAACTCGGTCATAATTTCTTTGACTCTATTCAAATATTTCATCAGCAGAGGACCTTTGGCTTGATATTTGCCATCAATTTATGAAGTGACAAGTTGGAAAGTTCAAACATAGAGAGTGCTCTATTGAAACTCCTTATGGACTTTCAAGTATTATCTCGGCTCCACTCCCTTTGCTGTTTGACGAACCATCAACATAAACCTTCCAAACGTCGTTTGGTTCAGCACTTCCTTTAACTGTCGGGGTGATCTCCATTATGAATTCAGAGCCAAAGCTTGCGACTTAATTGCATGCCGAGTTTCATACGTTATGTCGTATTCAGAGAGCAATATTCTCAGTTAGTCATTCTCCCAGCCAAATCTGGCTTATGCAAAACTTGCCGTATCGGTTGGTTAGTTTTGACTATTATTTGATGTCCTAGAAAATATGGTCGTAGTCTTCTCGCTGTGATGAGTAAGGCAAATGCCACTTTCTCTAGCTTCTGATATCTCATCTTAGGACCTTGAAGAGTTCGGCTAACAAAATATATCGGCTCTTGGCCTTTACTCGTTTCTTTTACCAGCACGGCATTTATTGCTTCTTCTCCAACAGTCAAGTATAAAATGAGGACTTCTCTAGGTTCTGGCTTTGACCATACTGGCAGTGCCGCCAAACATTTCTTTATTCTCTCAAACGTGGATTCACAATCCAGGTTCCATCCATGCTCAGCTTCTTTCTTTAATAACTTGAAAAATGGGAGGGCATTTTCAGCCGACTTAGGCAGGAATCTAGTCAGGGCAGCCAGCCTACCCGTCAGTTGTTGAACCTCTTTTCTTACTTTTAGGAGCCTTCATGTCCAGTACAACTTTGCATTTATCTGGATTTTCTTCAATTCCTCTGTGGGTTAACATAAAATCCAAAAATTTTCCTGCCGGGACTCCAAATATGCATTTAACCTAGTTCAAACGGATATGATAAGCTCTGAGTTTCTGAAACGTTTGGTCCATATCTCTTACATGACTTGTCATATCTAATGATTTAGCAATCATGTCGTCTATGTACACTTCTATGTTTTTGCCGAGTTAATCTTCAAATACTTTATTCATCATCCTTTGATACGTGGCTCGTGAATTTTTGAGCTTGAAAGGCATTACATTGTAACAGTAATTTGCATTCTCAGCAATAAAAGTTGTTTTCTCTTTTTCTTTCGGGTACATTGGAATTTGATTGTATCCAGAATAAGCATCCATGAATGATAACAACTTGAACCCAGCTGGATTATCTACGAGCTGGTCTATGTTGGGCATTGTATAAGAATCTTTTGGACACACTTTATTGAGGTTAGTGTAATCCGTACAAACCCTTCATTTCCCATTGGGCTTCTTCACCATGACTATATTAGCCAACCATGTAGTGTATTGGATTTCTCTTATGAACCCTAACTTTCTTTTCTTTTGTGCCACTAGAGTTGATCCGGGATAGATCCCCAACTTGTGGCAACAGAACTTTGGATATATACCTGGTATCTCGGATAATTTCCATGCAAAGACATCTTTGTTATTCTTCAGAAATTCAATCAACTTGACTTTAATCTTAGAGTTGATGGTCTTGCCGATTATGGTAAATTGACCAGGTTCAGCCCCCAAGATAAGCTCTTCTAATTCACCAGCTGGCTCAGGTCTTGGAATGACAGCTTCTTCTCTCATACCCAACTCAACCATATTAACTGGTTTGCTTGAGTGTTGAGAGGTTATCTTCTTCCCAACTTTATCTCCTGGAAAAATCTGAGGTGGACTTAAGTGTCCACCTTTATTTTCTTTGACGGCTTCAAAATAGCACTATCGTGATTCTTTTTGATCTCCCTGAATGGTGATGACTTCATTCTTGTTACTTATCATCTTCAGCTTCTGATGTTTTGTTGAGACCAACATATCCCACTTATGCAGGATTGGCCTACCTAGAATAACATTGTATGGAGATGGGAAGTTAGAAACAATGAATCTTACTCGTTCAGATTTGAATGCTTCTTTTGTTCCCAGAGTCAATCTGAGATCTATGTAGCCTTTAGGGGGTGTATGTTTTCCATTAAAGGCTATTAGGGTAGTCTTACAAGGCTTGAGATCTTCTGCATCCAGATTCATTCTTTTGAAAGCATTCCAAAGGATGATATCTACACAGCTACCAGCATCTATGAAGATCTTTTTAACCAGACAATTAACCAGGGTTCCTGTAATAACCAGACCATCTTCATGTCCTAGTAGCACACCTTGCATATCTTCTTTAGTGAAATAAAGTAGAGGAGGATCCTGTTTACTAGGATCTTCCTTAAACTTTGGTCGATCTCTGACTGAAAGTACTTCTCTGAGATATTTTCTTCTCGAACTTACAGTATCTTCACCTCCGCCAAGAGCTCCACTAATCACATTAAAGTCAAACTCGGCTTATGGAAATTCATCATTGTTAGAATCATCTTTTTTGTTTTTATCTTCTTTCTTTTTCTTTTCAGTAGCTAGGCTCTTGCTTCTACTTTGGCCCCTGGATTTCCTCTTATTACTTTTCCATCCCTGCATCTTGATAACATATTGACGCAACTTTCCATCCCTGCATCTTGATAACATATTGACGCAACTTTCCATCCCTAACAAATTTCTCCACGGCATCCCTGAGGTCCCAGCATTGATTAGTAGTGCCCAAGTCCATTATGGAAAGTCCAAAACCTGGATCGATCCAAACCTCTTCTGTCAAATATAGGCTGTGGTCGTTCTACTTTCTTCATCTTGGTAATTGCCACTTCCCTCCATATCTGAGACCGTGGCACATTTAATAGAGTGTGTTTTTCATACCTTCCAACCCAGAATCTGTCATCCGGGTTCCTCCCACGAGAATCTTTCTTTTTGTTGCCGGGTCGTTATTTTCTCTTGGAGCTAGACTTTTCCTCTTTGGGCTTATCCTCTTATTTTCTTCACCCGATGCATTTGCTATATCTATTTTCTCGAGCTCCAAGCACTTCTTTGATCGGGTTCAGAATTCTTCTAACGTCCTCACAGGATCCTTGTAGATTGACTTTGCCAACTGAGATGCTCCATCTAACCAGGCTACAATCAAATGTACATGGACATTTTCTTACAAACCTGAAACTTGCAAAGCGGCATCTTTAAATTGGTTTAAATCCTTCTAGATTGTCTCCTCAGATTGTTGTCGAATTTTTTCGAGTGAAAATTTCGACTTCAGATGCTTCTTGCTTGTCGCAAAGTTCAACAAAAACTTTTCCCCAAATTCTTCAAAGGACTTAATCGAATTAGCAGGCAAGTTTGAAAATTATGTCTGCGCAGCCCCAGTCAAGGTTGTAGCAAATATCTGGGATATGATAAGCTCATCAATCCCTCGGATGTACATATCTGTGTCAAAGGCATCTATATGGACTTGAGGGTCCTTACTTCCATCATACTTTGGCAAATGTGCGGAGTCAGACTCCTATGAAATAGAGCATTAAGTATCTCTCCAGTGAATGGGCTATTATTATACTGCCCCACACTGTACTTCCTCCTGTAAACACCAGTCTCAGCACGTCCTCAGATATTATGTGGAGGTTGGGCATCCCAATTGTGATGCATATCATCCCGGTTTTTCTCTACATTCCTCCCTGCCCTAGAATTCTGAGCAGGAGGCACCGTATTCGCATTATGATCATTGTCTTCAACGTTATCGTTGATTTGGACGTAGCGGTCTGGGTTTATAGCCGCTCTCGTGTTTGGTGCTCCTTGGACCTTAGCTTCTCCATCCCGGATTTGTGTTTCTGGGTTACAATCCATATTCCAATTATTTTCATCCCGGATCTGAACTCTATCTCGGCCTGATCCCCTCGCCTGCATTAAGCGTTGCTCCATCTCTTGCATTCTTCACATTTTTTCTTCTTAAATTCTTCTGAAATCTTCTTGTCGCTAGAGGTTGTTACGATTCTGGTAACGCCCGGCCACTTGCAAGAATCAATGATTGTCCCCACACACTAACACGAGACTTTTTAGTGTGCTTTGTCCTCACTCGCACACTAACTCCTCTGAAATGGAGCATTAAGTATCTCTCCAGTGAATGGGCTATTATTATACTGCTTCACACTGTACTTCCTCCTGTAAACACCAATTGTGATGCATATCATCCCGGTTTCTCTCTACATTCCTCCCTGCCCTAGAATTCTGAGCAGGAGGCACCGTATTCGCATTATGATCATTGTCTTCAACGTTATCGTTGATTTGGACGTAGCGGTCTGGACCTCTTGGATGAACTCCACAGTTAAGCGTGCTTGACTTGGAGCAATTCTGGAATGGGTGACCTCCTGGGAAGTTTTCCCGAGAAGTGTGCGAGTGAGGAAAAAACACACTGAAAAGTCTCGTGTTAGTATCTGGGGATAGTCGTTGATTCTTGAAGCGGCTGAGAGCGTACGTATCTGTAGGTATTACCTCTTATTTATAGAGTTTACATGTGAGTATTGGATTCTGGACCTTCAGTGTTTCTGATGATGGCCCAAGTCCATCTGTCATGCTGTCATATAAGGATTGAGATCTTGATTAATTGTGTCTGATTAATATTTTGGATTGCCCGTTGTTGGGTTTGTCAATAGATAGGCCTCATATATGAGTCATAACAGTAAAAAATTTGTAGAGTGAAAAGCAGTCAAAAGTTTGACCTGTGACAAGTAGTAAAAGTTTCTACGAAATGCACAGAATAAAACAAAGTTTTTGGTAGCATAGAAGTTTAGAGTTACAGTTCATACACAAAATAATACGTGACCAAGAGATGCTGGCTTTGATTGTCAGGAAATTTAGCTTTAATTTATTGCTTGAGTTCAAATACATTAGGAATCTATGAATTTGATAATTCCAATGTTAAAAAATAATAATGAGAACATAAGCTATAATAAAGTAACAAATAACTGTGAGGTTCATGAATGTTAATTAATAGAATTTTGTTGTTTCGGATCTCGATTTTTGTCACAACAATCGAATTCGATGAATTCATGTGGAATAACGAATTGGGATATCTTTTTTTTTTTTTAAATAGTTTGATGAGCCGCATATTGAGTTTGGAAGGAGCTTACAAAATTAGTTTTTTTGCTTAAAATAATTTAGTGTAATAGGTATTTTTTTTTTTAGAATTTAAATACGTTTAAAGTTGAACTATAAGAAATTTAAAATTAATATTGTACCTTATATAATATATAGTTATAAATAAAATCCTTGAGATGAAATCTTAAACTATAAAATCTTACGGGTAATATTTAGCGCCCTGAGACCTAACTAAAATTATAAATCAAAATTAAAATTAAAATAAAATATACTCCTTCTATACATATACAATTTATGAAATCAAATTTATTGTCATGTTAATGATGATATAAGTTCATTTCTAATATGAAATTGGTAATAAAATTGGAGTTCGGGTTGTCCTAGAAAGGCCAATTAAGTGGTTAGACCCTTAACTCCCTATAGTGAATATATCGACCACAAGGTAGATGATCCCTTACTTCCGTGCACAGCTCACTACATCCACGTAGTGAAGTATGTCCTCACGTACATCCCAAACATGGTTCCAACAACTAATTTTAGACATGTAAGCTCAGGCATTCACGAACCGAGTCAAAGACCCCTGAAAGGTCCTTGATTCGTTTATCACCCCTAAGGTGGGCAATTGTCCCCCTTAAATATTGTCAATTTTGAAGGAGAATGAACATCATCAACCTTATCGTCTGGGGTCTCTCATATATCTTATACTTTCTAATCATTTTTTTCAAAAGAATAGTTTTATTCCAACCTAAATTTCAAGACTTGAAGTGAATTGAGCTTTCAACGTGAGGAGAGAAACCATAGATCCAAAGAGAGAGAGAATTTGGATGGGCACCATGATTTTATATTTTGATAGAATATCAACTCATATAAGTGATGAATTGCATATACCTCCTCCAGTGTTGAGGATATATAAAATCACTTGAGGAGGTATATGCAATTAATCACTTATATGAGTTGATATTCTATCAAAATATAAAATCATGGTGTCCATCCAAATTCTCTCTCTCTCTTTGGATCTATGGTTTCTCTCCTCATGTTGAAAGTTCAATTCACTTCAAGTCTTGAAATTTAGGTTGGAATAAAACTCTTCTTTTGAAAAAAACGATTAGAAAGTATTAGATATACGAGAGACCCCAGGCGATAAGGTTGATGATGTTCACTCTCCTTCAAAATTGACAATATTTAAGGGGGACAATTGCCCACCTTAGGGGCGATAAACGAACAAAGGGCCTTTCAGGGGCCTTTGACTCGGCTCGTGAATGCCTGAGCTTATATGTCTAAAATTGGTTGCTGGAACCATGCTTGGACTTGTACAAAAGTTCGTTTAATAAAAATGCCTTAGACTCTAATTCAAAAGCTCAGCCTTAGAGCCTCTCAGTTGGCCTAGTATATTTATTTTTATTTTATATTTTTTTTATACTACTTGTAATAGCTCTCTCTCTTATCAATCAATTTCATCCCATTTTATTGGTTAAATAGACTTTTTGAATGATTTTGTTCTACATTATACTATTTAGATATACATTTAATTTATAAATATTTGTGGATTATTAGTGCTATTGATTGTATATTTTGTTTGGATAATTTTTTGTTGTCTTATTTTTTTTAAACAGGCTAAACCAGACTTTTAATTTTTGTAAATAAGACAAGCCACATGCCGATAATTATATTCATAACAGGTAACAGACTTGGTCAGACTGACACATTTAAACACAAATTTAACCTTTTAAGATCAAAGTTCAACTCGGCTCAACCTGTTAATACCCCTATCCACCCTATTTCCCATTTCCCATCATCTTCATTGTAGGTGCAGCAAAAAAAGTTGACGAGGAAGGCTATCAAAAGTTTGATTGGTGATGATGTAGTACAGGTCTGTACCAATTGCACATAATAAAAAAAAGGTAAGGAAGCAAATAAGTTTATGGGGTTAAAGTTTAGGGAAAATGTTTATCCTTTTAAATGACACAACTTATATCATTTCACTCTCACAAAGAAGTGAGATTCACATTTTTACTTTTTTTTGTCAAATTTCTTTCCTCCTTTATCTATCTCTCTCTTAAAATGACACAACTTTACATCCTTTAAGATGACACACACTTTTCTCTAAAGTTTATTTACAATTAAAGTGACCAAGAGATGTTGATTTAGAAATTAAAGGAATTTAACTCTTAATTTATTACTTGAGTTCAATTTATTACGACGCTATTGATTTGATAAGTCCAGTGTTGAAAAAAATGATAAGTGAACATAAGCTATTAATCCGAGAAAAGCCAACTTTTCGATGTACATGCTAAAGGGTTGTGTCAGTTATTAAATAAACATCAATGTTTCTCTAAATGAAGCATCAATAATGGAAGAAACAAATTAAAACAAGATTCATTGGATCTCCAATTTTGTCAAACGATTCAAATTCGATGAATTCACGTGAAATAACAAAGGTATGTCATGATTTTAATTTGTTTTACATTTTTGGAGTTTGAGGATATTGAAACCCGCTTTATTGAGTTCCAAAAGGAGTTTAAAAAATAGCTTTTATACTCGAAAAATTAAAAGATAAAAAGATAAAATAAAATAAAAAGATCATCGTACAAGATTGTTAAGGTCGGTCCTCTCTCGATCTCTTGATGTTTTAGTTTG